GCATCACTTGCTTTGTATATTATTATTATCATCATCATTATAATATTGTTATTGTTATCATTACCATCTTACTTTATTTCAATTATTAAACTGTTCTTATCTCAACCCAGGAGTGTTTCTCACTCTTACTCCTCCGATTCTCTCCCCCATCCCATCGGGGTAGGGGGAGTGAACGAGCAGCTGTGTGGTGCTTAGCTGCTGGCTGGGGCTAAACCACGACAACACTTTTTGTACTGATGCAATGAGGAAGGGTATCTTATAGAACCACCTCCTCTGGTTCTATGTCCAGTGTGGATTTCTTCAGCCTGTATGAAAGTCTGCAGCCCATTTAGAACTAGTCCTGCATTGACAGGCTGTGTCCAGAGCTGCAGCAAAACTGCTCCCAGAAGGGGCACATACTGGGGACAGATATATACCCCATGTTTCCTGCTGCTGAGGAAGAGCAGCATCAATCTGAAGAGGCAGTGGCACCTATAAAGAGCCCAAACAAGCTGGAATGTAGCAGGGGAGACAGTCTAAAGGCTGGTAGGACCTGGGAAGGAGAGCACTTTCCTTGAGCAGAGATGCCTTAACATCTAATTCTTTTGCTATGACAGTATCTATATTCTTTATGAACTTGAACAGTCTCATTAGCAATTACTAATGTATGTAATACGTATTAGTATATCAGGGGCTTAGAGAAGATTCAAAAGCCCTCTGAGACAGTAGATAAGTGAAGAGAAGCCTTATAAGGTGGACCAGTTTTTGACTCACAAGCTTAGCCATCCAACTAAGTTTCATGTAGTTTAAGTGAGAGCCTCAAATCACAGTGAAGATGTTTCCTATGTTGTAATTAGATGGGAACTCCTTTACAGACTTAGAAAATCCTAAGATAATTGAGTTAAAGATTATTTTATACCATATAGGTTCACAAAACAATTTAATGTAATTTCTAGAGTTTTTTATGGCATGGTTTGAATAATAATAAGATTCTATTCACAGTTATCTGGGAAGATGCGTATAAATCAGCAAACCTTGCCGGTCATCAATAATGCTCACATCTCAAACTCATGTTGAAGTGCTGGGCTTTACAGCATAGTCATAGACTCACTATGTAACATATGAGTGATTTTATATGAATCTTTTTATATTAATATTGTGCTGTATATGTTCTGCTACAGATTACATCTTCCATTTTTCATGGCTATATGAGCCAGTAGGTCATACAGCCTTATGCCTGTCATGTCTTAACATACACACTGCTTTAACAGACCCCAAACACTATTGTGGGTGTGCAGAATTGCCAGTGTGTTCTGACCTTGACCATGTCTGTTCAGCCTTCATTTTTCTCCTTTCTGAGCTTGCTTCACCCCTTTAGGAACCTTTCAACATGTTGTGCAAAACTGCAAGCATGACAGTTCAGCTTTGCAAGATCTTTCTAACAAGAAAAAAAACCCAAAAGATCTCTCTAAAATCTCTGGTTTAGATTTCATTTTATTTGTCATCTTTTATGAACAAATTACGAAATATACTTCATTCACAAATTGGAAATATTTACAATTTCTTTACAACAAGGCATTGTTGAGGTTTTGATTTATGGCGTTCTTAGAGCATTCTGTCTTTCAAAACAAAGACATTGGTGGTGTTTTCAGCACACTGTTCATTTACACTCTCAATGTGAAATGGGAGCCTTTTGGAAGAGTAATTTGCACTTTCTTTTGATACGATCTACTGGGAAAACTGAGGCTGGATGCATTTGCAATGTGGGGAGGGGGACTGTGCAGATGCGTTGCTGGTACCATGCCACATGGTCTGAAGCCATCATATTACACCTGATGCTGCTAAGTGGGGAGGAGAAAAAGATTCCCCTGAGCCATCCTTCCTCTGCCGTCTTCTCTTCTCTTTAGGAAACCTGTGACTGGGCTAAATATCATCCAGTTTAATTATTTTTTTCTGGTTTTTGAGTCTTCATGAGAAGAAGAGTCTTGAGAAGTCTATTTCAAATACTATCACAATTCTGAAAAGTTATTCAGACAAAAAACCAAAAGAGAGTAGCCAGGAAGTGAATAAATATTGTATATGTGCAAAATGTTTAGGAGACAAATTTTGAACATGTTTCTAAAAATGAAATGCAACTGTGCTGTTCTGCAGTTGTGACATTTGAGCCATAAAAGCTAAGACAGTTCCATTTTCTCAGTTTCTTGGAGTCTGTTTTTTTTCCTGAAGAAAATTCTAAACCCACTTCTTTCCATGGACCTTTATAAAATCTCTTAATATACACTTCCATTATAAATCAGATGTGGGCCACCATTGCTTAGGTTGTCTGTCATTTCCTGCAACAAGAATAGAAAACTCTGATTAAAATTGCAATTATTTTATGGTGTTTGAAATTTAGTTAGCTAAGGTTGTAATAAAAATTTAACAAATTCTAAATTTCAAACATTCAGAAAAACTTTACATTTTTATTTGTCTCGATAAATCTCACTGTAAAAAACAAAAATCACATTTCTTCCTACATAAATTAAGTACATTTGAAGGCTGATAGATTCATTGATACTGATTGAGTTGGACATTACTCTCAGACCACATATACAGTATTGATGGCATCCCTGCAAGTTTTGTGACGTTGTCCTTTGAAAGTGCATCAGCTCAAGTTTGTGTGGTAATCTACAAAGGAACAAGATGGTAATTAAGTCTTCATTTCCATTCAAAACTTATTCTGTGCTGACATGCTACAAACAGATACCATTCGATGCTAGCTGGGATAGACATTTGGGAAGTAGGTCTAGATCCAAACAGGATCTAAGGGTTTTGACTGCTTGCCTTTGGATGGGACTGATTTTGGTTTTCCCTTAATATGCCAGACTACAATTTTTAGCAGTTCAGCAATTGCTACTCAAGTGGCAGATGAGTCATCCTGGAGTAAGCTGACCTGATCATGAGTCAGAATCCTGAAGCACCTAAACCAAGATTTGTTTGGAGTTAGATTTTCTAATCCTTAAATTGCAATCCCAACAATACCTACTTAGAGGCTGTCTACACCTGGATATGGCTGCATTCATTAAGCACTTCTCTGACCTTCAAGGCTGCAAAACCATATGGAGTTTATGCTCAGAACTGCCTTATTCTGCGCAGTCTTAGGCCTATTTCATACCAAATTGCATCAGGATACAGAAATGATCTGCTGCTTATGTCCAATGACAGGTCCCAGAGAATATCCAACTATGCCCAGAAGAGCGGGCACATATAAAAATGCAGTTTGGTCTATTCTTTTTAAAATTCAGCTAGATGAGGTAGAGGTGCCACTATTGGGCTAGTTCTAAAGTATTTGCATGAGAACCAGAAGCTCTTCTCTGCATGGAAAGATTAAATTTACCTCTTCCACCTCGTAGGTACAGTTAGACAAAATGTGGAAAAAAAGGGATTTGTTTGTCCCCCTTCTTGTGGAAGTTTCTGTGAAGAAAGTAAAACAAGATTCTTTGGGCTAAACAGGGAGAGAGAGCAAGAAAGACAGAAAGAGTGAGCCTGACTCTATAGTGTAGTAACTGAGAGTCTTGGTAAAGAGAAGAAAATTCTGGGACCTGGTCTTTATTCCTATTCTGACTCTTTCTCTCCCTTCTTTTAATCCACAATATTTGATTTGTAAGTAGCTCATGAGGCAGAGACCAGAACTCAAGGTTTCATATAAAGTGGAAGCACTGGTGCCTTCTCTCTCAGACTACATTTTGAAGTAGATTGCAAGACTTAATTTTTGCCTGCACAGTTTTTGAAAGAAGGGATGGGGTATTCCTCTTTACCAAGTAAACTTGGGTCCATCAAACCAGGTAGATATGCCAATTAATACTCCTGAATCAAGTGTAAGTTTCAGAGAAAAGCAGCTGTGTAAATTTACTGAATTTTGAGCATTTTCTACCACCCAGTTCTCCATCTGGCAGGGACGGTGTTGGATGTTTTTGTATGGTGCCTGATTGTCCTCATATACTGAAGAGAAAAATGCATGCCTAACACTGAACTCAGGATCCCTGTCTGGGGGCTGCCTGCTCTGAAACAAGGCACTATGGTTGCCTATTTGTGGGTGCCTAAACCCTTTGTTGGATCTATGCTGAAGATACCGGTCAACAGGGAAAGGGACCAAGAACACCAAAGCCGTCTAATATTATCAGTCATCCACAGTTTGATAGTAATCTGTCAGAAGACTACTCATGAGCAACTGTAAGTTTCCTTTTGTCAGCTTTGTCACTTGAATCCTCTGCAGACATCAGCTATTAGAATATCATAATTTCAGAAAATACTGAAAATCATTTCTTTTCCCCAATATTTCTATTTTCAAAAATAAAAGTATTAATAAATTAAAAAACATTGCTGAATTCAAGAAATGAAGGAGCACACAGATTAGAAGCAGAGTGAGGCAATGGTGGCAACATCCAAATAGAAGCATTTGGATGTCTATAACTAGGGTGAATATTTTAAATACTCAACTTACTTCCAGATTGCAGCGTTCACCATGTAGAATTATGTCACCACCTGGAAGCACCATTCCTGTCTCAGAGTGACATCACAGCATCAGCCAACTTTGATTAGCTGAAACTATGACTTCCTCTTAGAGGTGGCCCTTCCTGAA